CTCCTCCTCGTCCTCCTCCTCCTCGTCCTCCTCACCTCCTCCTCTTCTACCTCCTCCTCCTCCTCGTCCTCCTCCTCCTCGTCCTCCTCATCCTCCTCCTCTTCCTCCTCCTCCTCCTCCTCCTCCTCCTCCTCCTCCTCCCCTCCGCCTCCTGGGCTCTTCAACCCCTGTGGCCCACCCACTAAGAGTGGGAAGTATGTTATCTCACGCCTTTTCAAAGGCAAAGACCTCCCACATTAGTGTCCTCGGCTCCCAGGGTTTCTCTTACCCCTGGGGCCTCGAGTTTTGGTTCCACCGCGCCAGGGCCCCTTCTCTTCGGGTCGCGAGGCGACGCTCGTCTCTTGGGCGACACTCGACTTCGTGGTCGCCGAATTCTCCCGAATTCTCCCCTCCTCCCCCCCCCCCTCCCCCTTCCCCTCCCCCTCTTCCTCCTCCTCCTCCTCCTCATCCTCCTCCTCATCCTCTTCTTCTCATTCTTCTTCTTGTTATTATTATTATTCCTCCTCCCACTCCTCCTCCTCTTCCTCCTCCGCCCCCTCCTCCTCCTCCTCCTCCCCCTCCTCCTCCTCCTCCTCCTCCGCCTCCCCGCAAAAGGTGCACCGGCCTAGAGCGGCCACGGCCTCTTGACGGCGCAGGCCTCGCTCGCCGTCGGCCGACGCCGCGCCGACGCGGGCGGCGTTTGCTCCGCCGCGGAGGCGCCCGCGCGGAGGCCGCCGCCGCGTCGACGCGGCGCGAGCCAGAGATCCGACGCTCCAAAATCCCAGACCCCCTCGAGTCAGGAACGAATCGGCCTCCAGGGGCCCTCAGCCGGGCCCCGGGAGGCTCCTCCTCCTCCTCCTCCTCCTCCTCCTCCTCCTCCTCCTCCTCCTCCTCCTCCTCCTCCTCCCCCCTTCACTCCTCCTCCAAAATCACGACGGGAGGTTTTTCGTGATTTTCGGCCTCCAGGGGCCCTCACCGGGCCCCGGGATCGTCAAAAGAACGGCTCGGGATGAGAAACTGGTCCCGGGGAATGGGTTCGGACCTCTGGGGGTCGCGTCATGAAAAAATCATGCCGTCGGGGGTCTGGGATTAGAGGGCAGAAAATCCACCCCCATAAGAATCACCCCGGCAAGCGAAGCCGTTTAGCAAACGCACCCAAGGAAGGAATCGAACAGGGCAGGGCCGTTCAGTAAACGCCCAGGGCCTTTTAGTAAACGCCAATTATCGGGTCCGGGTGGTTTTTCTTCCCTTGAAGATTGGAGCGGGCGGTTTTTTGGCTGTTCTAGGCCTCCGGGGGCCCTCGCCAGGCCTCGGGGCCGTCGCAAACTGCTCAGGGCGAAAAGCCAGCCCTGGGGAGGCGGTCCAGACCTCCGAGGCCCACGCGTCGAACAACTCTGAGCAGCCAGATGTCTGGGGAGCCTGCGGCAGGCAGGCTTCTCAGAAGCTGGGAGGGCCTCCAGGAAGTCCCCCATGGCCTTCCCGAAAACAGCGAGAACATGGGATACGAAATCCTGCGTCGATTCTGGGCTCCGTAGGGTACCCCAGGGCTCTGCGGGCTCCTCGGGCGAGAAGATACTCTCGTAGGGCACCCGTCGAAGTCCCGTTTCTTGCCTGGTGTGTCCAATGTCGACGGCCACCCCTCGTCGCGCCACCCCCGTCTGATGCGCGGCCGGTCACCCCACCCGCCGTTGGAGTCGTTGGAGCCGCCGCCGTTCTCGTACCACGCGAGCTTGTTGTCGTAGCGCGACGCGGACAGCACGTCGAGGGCCCCGTCGCTGTTCATGTCGGCGGCGTTGGCGAAGGACGCACCCCAGGCGTCCTCTGTAATCACCTGGGCGACGCGGACATCAAAAGGGGCCTCGCGCCATCCCCTGCGGGTGCACCGCCCGCCCGCCCCGAGCGCCGCCGTCGCTGAACGCTGGGCGGCCAGGGCACTCTGGACGGGGGTTCTCCAGCAATCGGCTCCTCCTCCTCCTCCTCCTCCTCCTCCTCCTCCTCCTCCTCCTCCCCCTCCTCCTCCTCCCCCTCCTCCTCCTCCTCCTCCGCGGCTCGGGCGGGCGGGCCCTGACGTGCGGGTCGGGCGGGCGGGCCCCGACGGGCGGGCCCTGACGGGCGGCAGCGCAGCGGCCCGACGGACGGGCGGGCCGGGCGGGCCCCGGCACGGCTGCCTCGCGCGGAGGCTGCCGCGGGCCGCCAGCGCTGCACGGCCACGGGGCAAGGCTCGGGGGTTGCCAAAGGTGCCCCTGGCCCAAGGTGCCCCCAGCTTTTCGTTCGATTTTGGAGCCCCTGGGACCCTCTGGACCTCGTGAGGGGCGCTCTGGACGCCGTAGTGGCCTCCTTGAACATCCTGGGGGCACCTTGGGCCAGGGGCACTTCTAGCAACACCCGAAAGGCCTTCAGGCCCGACCCTTCGCGGGCGGCTTGCGAGCGAGCGTTCGCGCGGTCGACCCCGCGCTCGCTGCGCCGGCCGCCGCTCACCTGGCGGTCGTCGAACTTCCCCCCGCCAGCGCCGGGGTACAGCGACACCTTGCCATCGTTCATCGAGGCTACCAGCACGTCCGGCAGCGAGTCCTTGTCAAGGTCAACGACTTTGACCGAGGAGGGCCCGTTGACCTCGCCGGATCTCGTCACGTTCCTGACGGACACGTCGAACACGCCGCCGCCGACGTTCCGGAACCAGTACACCATGTTGTCGAACTGTGCCGCGTAGACAATGTCTGGCAGGCCGTCGCCGTCGATGTCGGCAACGTCGATCGACTTGGCGGTGTCGGACGTAGACGCCGCCAGCTTCTGAGGCCCGAACTGGATGCCGAAGGGCGGGCTGCTCGGCTTCGCCGGCGCCTTGTGGCCGTGCGGCGTGCCCTGCTCGCTGGCGCTATCAGCCTCAGACCGGCCAATGTAGGACTCGGAGGCCCACTGCCTGGCGGGCGTCGGGCCGGACGGTCCTCGCTGGCACGAGGGGCGTGCCGGGGGCGACCAAGAGGGGGGCCGGCCAGGAGCGGGGGTGGAAATCATGGGCCGAGGCGCATGCGCGGGCGAAGGGGGGATCAGGGGACGGGTTGAAGGAGAGGGGGCCATGAAATCTGGGGAGACACCATGGCCCTGGTCATGATATCAGCCCCCTCCCCCAGCCATCCCCCCCCTCTTGGCCGCCCCCTCAAACGAGCGACGATCAGCAACGGGTCTTTCGCGATCTGGCATTGCGACCTTACGCGGTGGCTCACGCGGGCCGCCAGCGCAACACGCTGCGCTGGAAACGAGGGCGCTTACGCGCTACCTTACGCGAGCAGCTTACGCGCCAAGGTCGGCACAGACGACGCCGTTGTTCCCCGGCGCTCTCACGGGGTCCCCGAAGCAAGTGGGCCCTGGACCCAGGGCCCTTCCTGGCGGCGAGCGAAGGGGGGGAATGAGAAGGAGAAGGCCTTCTCGGAAGGCGGCGGGGCTTCTCAGAAGCCCCCGCGCCTCCTGAGGAAATTGTTTGTTGTGTTTTCGGGAAAGGCTTGGACAACTTCTCAGCAGGCCGGGGGACTTCCGAACCTCCTGAGAAGGCCCTCTCCGAGGAGGAGGAGGAGGAGGAGGAGGAGGACGAGGAGGATGAGGAGGACGAGGAGGAGGAGGAGGAGGAGGAGGACGAGGAGGATGAGGAGGACGAGGAGGATGAGGAGGAGGAGGAGGAGAAGGAGGAGGAGGAGGAGAAGGAGGAAGAGTTTCTCACTTCCCCCCCCTCGCTCGCCGCCGACCCTACCCCGGGGCCAGGCTGCCGTGCCGAGCCCACCCCTGGCGGGGCCCCGGCCAGGGAGGCCCCGCCCACGCCGCCCGGAGCCCTGGGCCCAACGGAGAACCTCCCGGGAGAGGCGACGCACCGTGTGGGCGGCGTTGTATGGAGGAGGCAATACACGGTGGGTGGGCTGAAAGTGTCCACACGTGTCTCGCCAAGACCTTGAGTCATTCACGTACGTCGGACCAACATGTATACCCCCCTTCCCCTAGATTCAAAGTTGACGGGTTTAGGCGGTAGGCCAAAGACCAGGGACAGAATGTGGACACTCCAACTCTGGGTTTTGGGGGGGAAGGTGCGAAGCAAGGGCACTTCGGAGTTGTGGCTGTTATCCTGTTGGCCCTTTTTCTGCAGCCCTCGCTGCCCCCCCGTTGTCGACCCCCACTTATTATGCGCCACCCAAACCGATTCGTTCAGAACGGGGTCCCCGTGAGTCTCGCCCGACCCCGAGCCCAGATGTCGGGGCGTCGCAATTTTGTTCCCGCCGGGATATGTTGCCGATCCGGCCCGAAAAAGGCAGCAGAAAGATAGGGCCCAGGGCCTCGGTCGTGACTCTTCTGCGATGTTACGTTTCTTCCGCGACGTCAGATTGCAAAGGACCACCCTAAACCTGGGGCCCAGTTTTTATCCCGAGATTGTTGACGGCCCTAGAGCCTGGCGAGAGCCCCCATGAGCCGAAAATGGCGAAGGGCTTCCGCGCTGCGCTCTCTCAAACACTGGAGATCTGGGCCAGGACCCCTTTCCCACAGGACCCCTCTCCTTCATGTAGGGCAACGAGATCTATACGTACTCGCTATCCCCGGCCAGGCCCATCCCGGACCCAGGAGCGGTGCTCACGCCCTCCTGGCCTGGTCAATGAGGGGCATTTGCACCGCTCCAGGGCCAAGGATGGGCCTGGCAAGGGGCTGTGGATCTGTATACTGTCGGGACCCTTTGCTTGGTGTGTCGCGGTGGCGGCCCTGGCGACACGCTGTCTTCGAAGCTGATAGCGTGTCGCTCCGCTCCGCGGTGTGGGAATCTGGGGAAACTCGAGACGTTGATGCTTGGGAGCTGGGAACTGGTTAGCGTTTCGCGCCGAAGCGTGGTAGGCCAGAACTCGCAGCGCGACACGCCAACCAAAAGTTTCCGATCGTTCGCCAAGGATGAGCCTGGCAAGGCGCAGTGGATATACATAGATCTCGACGCCCGCTTACCCCTCATGCTGATATTTACGTATGCACATACATACACTCATCTATCTCTATTTATATAATCCGTGTTAGCATGCATGCATGCATGCATGCATGTATGCATGCAATCATACATATATACATACATGCGTGCATACACACATCCACACATGCATACACACACGCACATATATATATATATATATACATACATACACACACATACATACACACATACATACATCCATACATACATACATACATACATACATACATAAATAAATATATGCATGCACACGTACATGCATACATGCATGCATGCATGCATACATACATGCATACGCACATGCATACGTGCATGCATGCATACATACATATCTGCACATGCATACATGCATGCATGCATACATCCATCCATCCATCCATCCATCCATCCATCCATCCACACATACATACATACATACATACATACATACATACATACAAGCATGCATGCATACATACATACATAGATACGCACTTACACACACATACGTACATACATACATACATACATACATACATACATACATGCATGCATCCATGCATGCATGCATACATGCACACATGTTTACATGTACGCGCATACATAAATGCATGCATGCGTACATTCATAAATGCATACATGCATACGTACATACACACAAACATGAAGGCGGGTATACAAACATATCAGCAACCGTGCACATATGCATATATATACATATGTACATGCATGTATCAATACATGCATACACACACGTACACGCATACATACATACATACATACATACATACATACATACATACATACATACATACAAACACATTTGCATACGTATATGCATACGTGCATGCTCACGTACATACACACATACAGACATGCATGCATGTATTCGAGCACCTATGCATGCATGCACGCATACATGCATGCACACATTCATACATTCATACACACGTACATACAGGCATGTTTGCATGCATGCGTATATACATAGCTACAGACAGACAGACAGCCACACAGGCAGCCAGACAGACAGACAGACAGACAGACAGACATGCATGCATACATGCATACACATCTACTGACTTGCATACAACCAGACATGCATACACATTGATTGAAACAACACAAATGCTGTTCTCGTCGACCGATCATGGCGAGGTCCTCCGTCGACGAGAGCCGCGAGCCAGCGGAGGGACACCGGGGCCGCCAGCAGCAGGGGGGCGGCAGCCAGGGGCAGCCTGTGCCAGCAGCGCCTGGGCGCCGCGCGCCCGCGGATGCGGGCGCGCGTGGAGAGAAGGGCCCAAGTTGTCGTCGTCGCCGTCGTAGTCGGAGAAGGAGGAGGAGGGGGAGGCGGTGGAGGGGGAGGGGGGAGGAGGAGGAGGAGGAGGACCAGTGGAAACCCAAGAGTCATCGACGATGTTGGAATTAACCCTCCCTCCAAGCTCCCTCTTCATAGGCCCCTCTTCATAGGCCCCTCTTCATGGGCACCTACAACCGCTTGAAGATTCCGAAGCGCGCCAAAACATTGCTCTCGAGATTTCAACGCCACGTATCAACCTGACTGCTGCGTCTTGACGATCCAGAATCGTGCCAAAACGCCATTTTTGTGACTTCGACACAGCGAATCAACATAACTGTTGCGCCCGTTTAATCCTGAATCCTTCCCAAACACCATGTCTGGTACGTTGATCATGGGGCATCCGTGAAACTCTTGCTATTTTCTTTTCTTTTTCTAAACAAGAAAAAACGAGCGTGCGCGGTGCGAATGCGAGAGCCACATTTTGAAAACGACTCGCCCTCAATCCGTGAAGCTCGTGAAGCTCTTGAGTTTTTTTAAGATATATATATATATATATATATATATATATATAAAAAACATAAAAAAAAACGAATGTGCGCGGCGCTCAGGCGAGAGCCACACTTTAAAAACCACCCGCCTTCAATCCGTGAAACTCTTGCAAATCTTTAAAACAAATGTGCGCGGCGCTAAGGCAAGAGCCGCATGTTGAAAGCAACCCGCCCTCCATCTGTGAACCTGTTGTCCCTTCTTAAGCTTCAGAATCAGAAGTGGTGAGGAAGTCTCAGGCGAAACGCCCGGCCCGCCCTAAAAACTGGCCTCGGGGTGCGACAGGGAGGAGTTATCCGTAAGGAGAAGGAATGGAGGAGGAGGAGGAGGAGGAGGAGGAGGAGGAGGAGGCGGAGGAGGAGGAGGAGGAGGAGGAGGCGGAGGGAGAGAGGGGAGAGGAGGAGGCGGAGGGGGAGGCGGCGAAGGAGGAGGGGTGAGGAGGAGAACCACGAGGAGGAGAAAGAGGAGGAGGAGGACGCCCGCAACCCCCGCAACAAGCGGTCTCTGGCGGCCCCCAAAATCGCAGGAAGCCGCCGCAAACCCCACGGGGAAGCTCGAAGAAGAACCCCGCACAACTGATCAGCACAGTAGTCCTATCGTGCTACAGTGAAGGGCCAGGCCATAAGAAACCTTCCACAAGAAACCCAACCCTGAGACCCCAGGACGTCCATTGATTTTTGGTGTGGGAGCGTCACGCCTTCCATCGCAAAACCATCGAAACCCAAGAAGCCCAGGGTCAGGGTGTTTCTTGGCATGGGCCTCCACTGTATCGTACTACAGGCCACGGGAAGAAGGGCCTCGCGCCCTGCATGGGCGATGTCCTTGTTGCGTTTCGTCCGGCAAACCTGGCTCACATGCGCAAGATTACTGTAGAGCGCTCCAGGACATTCAACTGGCGAGCGCGCTCTCACGGTTTCTTCCCAAGACTCGTCGTCGAACCGCACCCAATAAACTGCGCGACGCATCTTTGAAGGACATTATTCTAAATGGTTTTGGACGTCCACGGTGTCGTTGGCAAGCTGTGAAGCATGGTCGGCGATACCACGGCGTCAAATGGTTCTGCAGCGTCGACCGCAATGAATGAGATTTCAACCACGCACATGCGATCCTGTGCGCCAAATTGGACGGGCCTCTCTGCCTCAGATCGTACGGGAGCATCATGCCCACGTACTTGTGGGAAGCACTTGTGAGAACAACCTCGACCAGTAATCCTGCTACCTCCGCCATGGGCGGGGTTTCGCTATCTACGATGTTGAAGGCCTCTGTTGGCGCATGTGTCAGTTGATCTGCTATTGTATGCCTTCAGCGACTTCCCGAACACAGCAATTTCATCTGTCGCCGCGCCAGTTGTTCTTGATGCGCCCAAATGGACGACGCCGACACCATGGCGAACCCACGGCAAACCCGGCGTTCAGCGCACCAAGTAGACGAAGCCAGCACCGCGGCAAACCCCACGGCAAACCCACCGCGTCCGAGGTGGAGTTTGCCCTGGTGGCCGAGGGCTCTCCTCAAGACGCAGGGCCGCGCGTCGGAACAAACGGCGCGGCGACATCTGCGTACGTCAGATTGGTCAGACGTGCCTGCTCCGGGTCCAATAGCAGGCCATGCCTGCCACCTTCAGCCTTCCATTGCCTCACCACCAGCCCTGCAGCGGAATGGAACAACATTGGACTCAGCCCGTCCCTTTGCCGAACTCCTAGTCGAATCGGACACAAGGTTCTGCCGTGCGTACAGTCGCTGCAAGAGGAGAACGCACTTGTGGTCGACGCCTTGTTGCTCCAGTACCACGGACAACATACTGTCTGCCAGTGTCGAACTCCTTTTTTCAAATCCATGCTGTTCGTCCAAATCGGGACGTTCTACTCGAGAGGTGTCTTATGACAGACCCGAGGATGAGCAGCACATCATCCGTGCCTCTCTGAGGTCGGGTGCCCATCTGCTCCAGTGGCGACTCGCCCTTCAGTGTGGGCCCTCGGCGGTTCCGCAGCATCTTCGCGAGTTTTTACAAGACACGTCCAGCACAACTATCGTTCTCCTGTTGTTGGGGTCAGGAAGGTCCCCCGCGTCAGGTATCAGGATGAAGATGTGCTCGTTCCACACCCGCGGCGTGTCTCCTGAGCATAGGATGCGAGTTAACATCCAGAGGAAGATGTCTTTCATGTTGCGGCTGCCGTTTCGAACATCTCCAGTACCACCCCATGCCTGTCCTCTGCCTTTCCTGCGGCCATGCGGGCCGCAAGGCCAAGTTGAGCTCGTCCCTGGAGAAAGCTGGGGCGTCGGCCAACGCAGACAAGTCGTCAGCTGCAAAGTCGCCCGCGTCGGACGCATCCCCCAAGAGCGCGGCCAGAGCAGAGTTAGATAGTCGCGCTGTTGATTCGCACCTGGTTGAGCAGAGCAGATCTGAGCGGACTTCTTCAGGTCGCGGAAGCCTTCCGGCTGTTCTTGTAAGCGCTGGGCCTGCCCCTGTCCTTGAGAAGTCTCCGCATTTCCGTCGCTATCTGGTTCGACAGGCGTCCTCCCTCCACCAGCTCTCCGCTGACGCGCCGGTCGGCGCGCAGTCTGCCGAGTTCAGGAGGATGCCACGCCTTGCTCGCAGTGGCCAACTGCTTCTGGGTGGCCCCGCTCGCCGCGGCCGCCCGAGACATCAGCGCGTGCACTTCAAGGGAGCCGGTGGAAGTGGTAAAGAGCAGGTGGTCCAAAGCGCTCCCGTGATGTTGCGCGCCTTGCTAACCTACTTTCATGGATTCTGCCCCGTCGTCTCCGGATAGTTGGCACGGTCACGGATGCAAGCACGGCGCGGCGGTCGGACCGCAGTCGGATCGGAATTCGATAGAGTGGCAGGCTACACGCTGGGGGGGCGCAGAGGGCACTGGGGTGCTGGGGAACAGTGGGCTGCCGGGGAACGCTGTGCTGGTGGTGAAGTCTGGGGGGAGGGGGCGGGGAGGGTGGGGGGGAGGCGTGCGGCGCGGGGAGAAAGTGGTCAGGGCGGAGGGGGCAGTTGGCGGAGATAGCAATCGACTGCTGGGGAACGCTGGGGGAAAGGTGGGGGAGGGGTGGCGGAATGCCAAGGGAAGAGGGCGGGAGGAGGTGTGCGGCGCTGGAGTGAAGCTGCCAGGGTGAAGAGGGCCGCGGGCGAAGAGGGCACTGGGTCGCGGGGGAACTGGGGGGGCGGGGGCGGTGTCCTGCGGGGTGGGGGGGAAACGGGACTGCGGTGCGAAAGCAAAATGGTTGGCGCGGAGGGGGCACTGGGCGCAAAGGGGACTGGCCTGCTGGGGAACACCTGGGCTGCTGGGATCACGGGGCTGCTCGGGAACGCCCCGCGGAGGGGAGAAGGGGGAGGGGGCGGTGCGAAAAGCAAATGGTCGGGGCGGAGGAAGCACTGGGCAGCTGGGGGACAATAGGGAGAGGAGCAGGGGACGGTGCCCATCTGGGTGGGGAAATGGGTGGATGGGGGGGCGGCGCAAAAATGAAACGGTCGGGGTGTGGGGCGCTGGGCTGCTGTTGGAAAGTGGAGAGAGGGGGCGGGTGCGGTGTCCTGCGGGGGGACGGGGCAGGGGAGGGTGCGGTGCGAAAACAATGTGGCTGCGGCGGAGCGTGCACTGGACGCAGACGGCACTGGGCTGCTGGGGAACACATGGGTTGCTGGCAACACGGGTCTGCTTGAGAACGCCCTGCGGGGGGAAGCGGTCGGGGCGGAAGGGGCACTGGGCGCTGAGGGCACGGGGCTGCAGGGGAACAACTGGGCTGCAAGTGAACACTGGGCGGCTTGGGAACGGGGAGTGGAAGGGGGGTGCGGTGCGAGAAACTATTGCGGCTGGGGCGGAGGGGGCACCAGGCTGCCAGGGGACAACGGGGAGAGGGGGCGGGGGCTTTGTCCTGAGAGCGGGGAGGGGGAGAGAGAGGCGGTGCGAAAGTAGTTCGGAGCTCTAGACACAGTGTACAAGAGAGTAACTCCTCCTTGTCGCACCCCAAAATTTGCCGGTAGGGCGTGCCAGGCGTTTCGCCTGAGACTTCCCCACTAGTTACGACCCTGGTGCTCATAAGCTGGCAAGAGATTCAAGGATGGAGGGGGCTGGTTTTCAAAATGTGACGCTCGCCGTAGGGCCGCGCACATTCATCCTAAACTGCTGTATCAGCTTTCAGGATGGAGGGCGGGTTGTTTTCAAGATGCGGTTCTCGCGTGAGCACCGCGCGTATTCGTTTCAAAATTCGCATCGTATTCGAGAACGGACGGCGGGTGGTTTTCAAAATGTGGTTTTCCCTCCAGCGGCGCGCGCATTCGTCTTAAAAGTTTGCACCTGGCTCCAGGATGAGAGGGGGGCGGTTTTCAACATGTGGCTACCGCCCTGGCGCCGCGCACATGGGTCTAAAAGGTTTGCCACAGCTGAGAGGACGGAGGGCGGCTGC